TCTGTAGGTTTTTTTAATTAAAAAAGCATTAATTTTTCATAATGTTTAGTGAAATTATTTGGTAGTCTGAGCTGGGATGGGGATTTAGACCACTGGTCTAAAGTTAAGAGACAGTGTTTAGTGCAGTCCACATGTTTACATATGTTTGTTACAGTGACTTTGAATTACCTAAAGTAGTGTGGTAAAGCAACAGATTTGTTTTTATATTTCTACAATCTACTTTATTTTGTGTGATTTGTTACTGACTTTCATATTAATGTTTACACCAGGCTTATTTGTCAGTGCTTTATGTTGTCATAATTATTACATGCTTACAAGGTTGGAAGTTCAACAAATCAGTCAATATACTGTGATTGTAGTTGTTAAATAAAAATGTCATTCATATCAATTCATGCATCACCTAATTTCATTGTAACATATAGGCCTGGCCTACAGAAAAGAACATTTATGTTTAATCTATCTAATATTGTGTTGGTCATGCTATACAATGATTTATAGCTTGTCTTTGTTGATTAATACAGAACTTAAAGAGCTTTAAAAAGTAATTGCATATTAATTCGCAATCGCAATATTGGTTAAAAAAATCGCAATTCGATTATTTTCCAAAATCGTTCAGCCCTGATGTAAACACACTTTTTTAAAAAGTTTATCTCTGGAATGAGACTCTGAGGAAGAGAGCCTGTATTTGTAGTGCTCTGGGATAAATCAGCGGGTTCCGGTGCGACGTGGAGGGACAGGAAGGCCTGTCGTGGCTAGAAGCCAAGCGTCCGTGCTTGTGTGTTGTAAGAGAGCAGCTGTGTGCGCCGCGAGTGGGACGTGTTCTTGGAGCGCTAGCGTCCGGTTTCCACTCGCCAGGTCCTCCCATCCTCCTTCAGCCAATTATATCACTCCTCTGTCCTTCAGTCTTCCCGTTTGACCAATGATGGTCTGAACCACATTTGACAGATTCAGTTTATGTCCTTGCTCTTGAGAAATTGCTACTAATAAGATAAAGTGTGTAACAGAATAAAGCAATTGAAAGTATAAAATTGGATCATATTTTGTGTTGTTAGAAAGAAAGCAATCACTTTAAGTGGCTTGAGAGAGAGCGGGAAGTTAGATGCGTGTCCACAGTGCAGATGACAGTAGCAACAAAAAATAGAAAAGAGAAAATGACATCTAAAAGAAAAGAAAGTAAAAGGCCGAAGGACCTTCAGACAAGAGCTCCTCTCAACTCAACACACACACACAACAAATCCATTGATCTCCGTTCGGAAAGGAAAACAGAAACACATGTGGAGGAAGAGGGTGAATAAAAAAAGTAAGATAAAAACCAGTCAAAGCCATATATGAATATCTTGACATGTTAAGGTGTCCAATGTGAATACAAAGACTCTTTTTAGGAGGTAGGAAGCAATATAAATGTAAGTCAGTATTGCACACATGCTTCATGGTGAGGTTAGTCCCAGAATGCATTTTTTAAAATAAATTAATAATTGTATTCAGCAAGAATGCATTAAATTGATCAAAAGTGGCAGTAGAGACATATATATATATATATAAATCCTATTTCAAATATAGGCTGATCTTTTGAACTTTCTATTCATCAAAGAATCCTGGGGGAAAAAAGTATCATGGTTTCCACAAGATTTTAAGCATTTTCAACATTGATAACAATAAGAAATGTTTGTTAAGCACCAAATCAGCATATTAGAATGATTTATAAGTGATTCCCTCCCTTTTGATTAATTTATTCATTTACTTATTTACTTACCATTACTAGTAGTAGTAGTATTCTCTTCCTTTTGATGCTGGTTGGTGGAGGGTATTATTATCACAAAAGGGGGAAAAAAAAGGAAAAAATTAGGAAACAATATTATGTCTTTATAAAAGAAATGTTTATTTGTTAATTAAATCAGTCCCAGAATGCATTTTTTAAAATAAATTAATAATTGTATTCAGCAAGAATGCATTAAATTGATCAAAAGTGGCAGTAGAGACATATATATATATAAATCCTATTTCAAATATAGGCTGATCTTTTGAACTTTCTATTCATCAAAGAATCCTGGGGGAAAAAAGTATCATGGTTTCCACAAGATTTTAAGCATTTTCAACATTGATAACAATAAGAAATGTTTGTTAAGCACCAAATCAGCATATTAGAATGATTTATAAGTGATTCCCTCCCTTTTGATTAATTTATTCATTTACTTATTTACTTACCATTACTAGTAGTAGTAGTATTCTCTTCCTTTTGATGCTGGTTGGTGGAGGGTATTATTATCACAAAAGGGGGAAAAAAAAGGAAAAAATTAGGAAACAATATTATGTCTTTATAAAAGAAATGTTTATTTGTTAATTAAATTAATTGAATGGAAAGACAATAAAGTGTAAAATGATTGAAGACTGGAGTAATGATGCTGAAAATTCAGCTTTGCATCACTGAAATAAATTAATTTTTAAAATATATTAAAATTGAAAATGTTATTTTTAACATAATATTTCACATTACTGTAATAATATTTACTGTATTTTGAGCAAATAAATACAGCCTTGGTGAGCATAAGAGAATGTGTTTATTGTTAAAATCATTTTTAAATAACATCAACCTCAAACTTTTGAACAATATAAGAATTTAATTTTTATGCTTAGTTATTTATATGCTTATTAGAGTATCACATTGTTAACTTGTCAACAAACTAATGTCAGATTCTATTGGAATCAATTGCTGGTTGAGTCTCCAGTGTGTGTCATTGGGTTAATATAATGAAACCGTTGAGTAGCAACCAATTTATTCATTTACTTATTTACTTACCATTAGTAGTAGTAGTAGTAGTATTCTCTTCCTTTTGATGCTGGTTGGTGGAGGGTATTATTATCACAAAAGGGGGAAAAAAAGGAAAAAATTAGGAAACAATATTATGTCTTTATAAAAGAAATGTTTATTTGTTAATTAAATTAATTGAATGGAAAGACAATAAAGTGTAAAATGATTGAAGACTGGAGTAATGATGCTGAAAATTCAGCTTTGCATCACTGAAATAAATTAATTTTTAAAATATATTAAAATTGAAAATGTTATTTTTAACATAATATTTCACAATATTACTGTAATAATATTTACTGTATTTTGAGCAAATTATTACAGCCTTGGTGAGCATAAGAGAATGTGTTTATTGTTAAAATCATTTTTAAATAACATCAACCTCAAACTTTTGAACAATATAAGAAAATTTAATTTTTATGCTTAGTTATTTATATGCTTATTAGAGTATCACATTGTTAACTTGTCAACAAACTAATGTCAGATTCTATTGGAATCAATTGCTGGTTGAGTCTCCAGTGTGTGTCATTGGGTTAATATAATGAAACCGTTGAGTAGCAACCAAGAGCACAGACACTCAATGACCTCCAGTGGTGTAACCGCTGTCAGTGTGACCGGAGGCAGCTACCTATGTAGTCTGTAGAAAGCAGGGCCGCTCACTAGGTTTGGAACGGAGCTGGGGAGAGCGAGGGGAGGAGATGAAGGGGCAGACCTGACAGGCCGTGATGGAAAGTTGTAGGCTGGCAGGCATTGTGTTCTAAAGGTCATCGTGATCCCAGTCTGAATAGCTCTGGAGTGATTTCTCTTTATGCAAGCGGACTTTAAAAGCATATTACACTGCCTGACCTGAGCACACACACACACTCATACAGTCAGTATAATTTTTTTTTAAAGAAAGAAAGACTTTAATTCAACAAAGATACATTAAATTAATAAAAAAACAGAAGAATACAGAAAAAAAACACATTGAGCAGCACAACTGTTTTCAGCATTGATAATATTAAGAGAGAGAGAGATTTTAAAAAGGTAATTGCGAAATGTTTATATAAATAAAAAAATAAATGTGAAATTCTCACAATTATGACCTTTTTTTCTTGCAATTGCGAGTTTATATCTTGCAGTTATGACTTTTCTGCTTAAAATTGTGCTTAAAATTGAGTTTATCCCACAATTCTAAGTTTATAGTTATTTAAAAAAACTGAATTGTGAGAAACAAACCCCAGAACTTTGAGATATAAAGCCAGAATTTAAAGAAAAAAATCTGAATTGTGAGATATAAACTTAGAATTGTGAGATAAAATCCCGAAAACTGAGAGATATAAACTCAGAATTTCAAGAAAAAAAATCTGTTTTTTTTTTTTAGATATAAACTCAAAATTGTGAGAAAAAAAAAATCCAGAACTGTGAGATACAAACTCTGAATTGTGAGATAAAGTCACAATTACCTTTTTTACTTTTTTTTTAATACTGGCTTTCATAACAAGCTATTTTAAGTTATAATAACACATTGAGCAGCACAACTGTTTTCAGCATTGATAATATTAAGAGAGAGAGAGATTTTAAAAAGGTAATTGCGAAATGTTTATATAAATAAATAAAAAAATAAATGTGAAATTCTCACAATTATGACCTTTTTTTCTTGCAATTGCGAGTTTATATCTTGCAGTTATGACTTTTCTGCTTAAAATTGTGCTTAAAATTGAGTTTATATCCCACAATTCTAAGTTTATAGTTATTTAAAAAAACTGAATTGTGAGAAACAAACCCCAGAACTTTGAGATATAAAGCCAGAATTTAAAGAAAAAAATCTGAATTGTGAGATATAAACTTAGAATTGTGAGATAAAATCCCGAAAACTGTGAGATATAAACTCAGAATTTCAAGAAAAAAATCTGTTTTTTTTTTAGATATAAACTCAAAATTGTGAGAAAAAAAATCCAGAACTGTGAGATACAAACTCTGAATTGTGAGATAAAGTCACAATTACCTTTTTTACTTTTTTTTAATACTGGCTTTCATAACAAGCTATTTTAAGTTATAATAATGTTTCAATATTACCATTTTTCCTGTATTTTTCTGTATGATCAAATTAAAGGTTCTTTTAAATCATTTAAAAATCTCTCTGACTAACAGTAGTGTGTTTTGTTTGTGTGCATCTGTTTTGATGTCCTTATGTGTTTCTTTATACCATCAGGCTGAAGGCGAGGACAGTCTGAAGAAGATGCAACTGATGGAACTGGCCATTCTTAACGGCACCTACAGAGACGCCAATATCAAATCACGTAAGCCGCCACCTCCTCTCAAGCAAACAGAGATGGTATTGTTTGATGCCTTTGTAACGCAGCTCTCAGTAATCCTCTCTCAAGTAACCCTAATAAATGTTCTGACAAGTGTCTCAGTTTTGTGAGATAGAATTAGTACATACGTCCAAAGAGCAGCTAATGAGCTGAAAAAATTGAGAACATGCCCTGCTATCTGTGAAAACAATGTTTTCTTAATTTATCGGATGTTGTGACATCCTCCTCTTCGCTTTGCTGCTTCAGTAAATAATACTGAAGCGCTATAGAACTGCAGGAGTGTGATATTGTTACTAAGCTGTATGTTTGAACGTGCTGGCCCCTCCCCTACCTTGTTTACTAATGAATAGCTAAATAGCAATAGCTAAATAGTCATGCTCTGTGTCCAGTGTTTGCCTGTGCATGGTACTAAATGTTTTTGTCTTTTTTTGTCCCTACCCCACCCGTCTTCATCCACCCTTACCCTCGCATTTTTCCTCTCACCACAGCCGCCCTTGCATTCTCTCTTGCAGCGAGCGCCCAGGCGCCACGGATCATCACCGGCCCAGCACCTGTCCTGCCTCCCAACGCCTTGCGCACGCCCACGCCCGCAGGGCCCACCCTCATGCCCCTCATCCGCCAGATCCAGACTGTCATGCCCAACGGCTCGGCCCACCCAGCAGCTGCCACCCTAGTGCAACCCGGTCCGGAGTCGGGCCTGATTTACGCGACGCCCTACGAATACCCCTACACACTGGCCCCCGCCACCTCCATTCTGGAGTATCCAATCGACTCCAGCGGGGTTTTAGGTAAGCATAGCTACACTTGTCTCACTACACAGAACCCCCAGATCCCTCTTCGGCATGGGCCGTGGACTCCCATGCTTTACATGGCTGTACACTAGGGTTGGGCGGTATGATGATTTATACCATGTGACATTTTGTAAATAAATCTGATTTACCTTACTATGCTATGAGGAAATATGGGATAAAAATACAAAACTTTAAACTGAAGTTGCACTATTTGAAGCAAGTTTGATTGTTTAGGGTTGCCGATCAACATCTCAACTTATCTCAACTCATCTCAACATCTCAACGAAACTCATGCATGGTCAGACTTTGGGGTCAGAAGTAGGGTTGTGCCAATAGACGATGCCATCGTCCATCACCGATGGCTGACAGACATGATGATGTTGAGCCGGCATCGTGATTCCGAACCCTGGTTTGACTGCCGTTAAGCACTTGGTGTCATGTTTTCTAAATATCCTGTCTTAAGATGGAGTGGTCAGTTGCATTCATTCTTTCTTGCACTCTCATTAAACATCTTACATTTGAGGGTTTCAAATTCTTAAAAAAATAGTTCACCAAAAAAGAAAATTAGCTGAAACTTTACACACCCTCAGGCCATCCAAGTTGTAGATGAGTTTGATTATTCATCGGAACAGATTTGGAGAAATGTAGCATTACATCACTTGCTCACCAATGGATGTTCTGCAGTGAATGGGTGCCGTCAGAATGAGAGTCCAAACAGCTGATAAAATTGTCACAATAATCCACAAATAATCCACATGACTCTGGTCCATCAATTAAAATCTTGTGAAGTGAAAAACTATGTGTGTTTGTTAGAAACAAATTGATAATTAAGATGTTTTCAAACCAGTTCTTCCAGCTAAAATAAGAGTCCTCTATCCATAATTTTACTTTCTCCAGTGAAAACGTCATCTCCTCTGAAGCTGGAGAGAAATATGCAAATTTCGTATTTTGGACAGAAGTGATGGGTTAAAGTTAAAACAGAGTTCTTCCAGCGAGTCCTCTATCCATAATATTACTTTCTCCAGTGAAAACGTAATCTCCTCTGAAGCTGGAGAGAAATATGCAAATTTCGTATTTTGGACAGAAGTGATGGGTTAAAGTTAAAACACCTTAATTTTGGATTTCTTACAGACACTCAGCTTTTCACTTCACAAGATGTTAATTGATGGACTGGAGAGCTGTGGATTACTTGTGGATTACTGTGATGTTTTTATCAGCTGTTTGGACTCTCATTCTGATGGCACCCATTCACTGCAGAGGGTCCATTGGTGAGAAAGTGATGTAATGCTGCAATTCACTAAATCTGATTCTGATGAAGAAATAAACTCATCTTGGATGGTCTGAGAGTCAGTAAATTTTCAGCAAATTTTCATTTCTGGGTGAAAAAAAACAGTCTAAAAAAGGTAAGAACATTCTTTAGAAATGTTTTTGGAAATACTAAATATTCTTACCTTATTCTTAGATAAGATATTCTTAAGTTAAAAAATAAGGAGAAATAGCAGTTAAGACAAATTTTATCCCCAATAATATGTGAATCCAGCCCCTGGTCTTTTTGTTTGCATGCCATATAAAAAGAGGAAATATCAACAAGATAGTTTAATTAGTACTGTATATTATGATATATTACTTTACCATTCTATAAAATGTCTCATGCTGTAATGAATGATTTGGGTCATACTGTCCACCCCTACCCTATGCCATTCCTCTTAAAAAGCCCCCAACATACAACACCTGCTCTCCTATACCAACAAAAAGCCTATGGTTTCCCCCATTAGGGCCACCAGCATCACCAGCCTCTGCTGTCACAGAAGCAAGTAATAGGCAATAATATAAAAGAGCAAACAACAATATATCAAGTCTTTTCCACTTAATCCATTTAGCGTCATAAAAAGTACTCCCTCATCACAAAAAAGAAAAAATCCTTTTAAGAAATGTTTGCATAAATGATTTGGCTTTTAAGTGCTCGACTGGCTTTGTTTGAATAATGAGAGCGCTCGCTCTCAAAAGCCCTGTCCTCTCCACTCCACACAAGCTGTATGGCTTCATTAAAGCACTTGAGAAAAGCCGATTATGAATATCATGTAACCAACAGCATTCTGCCAGTTTAACACTAGCTTCTCCCAAAGGCACGGTGTTAAGTTGAGCGGCAACAAATAGCCCATCCCAATGCCAAGAGCAGCGTGTCCAATTAGAGCAGATGAAGTAGGGTTTAGCTACTGTCCAATAAGCATGTTTATTGAGCTCGTCTCGAGCAAGATGGTTCACGGCACAGTCCTTATAGGACTATACCAGCCTTGTCTGTGGGTGGATGTTTCTGGGGTGAAGGGAAGGTCACTACAGCATGTTCACACATACAGTGGTTTGCAACATCTAGAAGTCATATATTTATAGTGACAGTTGGTGATTTCCAGCGCCGTGATTGACAGCAACTAGTGTGGGCGTGTCCAGCGATCCAGCAAAGTTGAGAAAAGTTCATCTCGTCATACAAGGCACAAACTGGAGACATAAATGTTATCAATTCCCTAGTGAATAATACATATACTAAAATGTATTTGAAATACATTTATTTCATGCTAAGTATACTACAAATACATTTACATAATTATGTACTTAATAAAAATACCCTGCAATTGTACTTTTGGTTTACTAAACTGGTATACTTAAAGTCTGCTAAATTAGAACAACTAATTTTGTACTTAATGCATTTTAATTGTGTGGAAGTAGTGCTGAAGTCCAACTAAAGAAATACTTAAGTATATTTGATTGTGCTAAAGTGGAACTATTGCAAGTATACCTTAGGTACACTTTAAATATCTTGCATTTAAAGACTGATATTATTCAAAGATCATACAATCCTCATCAATAGTGACATTAAAACACATTTTAGGCTTTATAATAAGAAATATGCATTGTGCACAAGTATTACTCCAAACAAGTTGAATTAGTTTTATATCAGTAAATCTTGAGTGATATATCAGTAAATATGTTTATAGATTTGAACTATACTTAGTATGAAAGTATTTAGTACTTAGTATGAAATAAATGTATATATTACTTTTTACTAGGGTTTGGACACATCTTTTTGTTTGTTAATATTTTTCCATATTTTTAAACAACAGTAAGTCATCAAAACTATGAAATAACATAAATGCAGGTATGGAAACCAAAAAAAAATAACTTCAAATGTATTTGATATTAACTTTATTAGATTTCTCCCGGGATAAACATTACTAAAGGATAGTGGACTGTTTTTCCTTCACTATCTGGTTTAATTTATGTAGTATTTCTTTTTTAAAAATACAATTAAATACAATAAAAAATGTGTATGTGTTTACAAAACTACTTTCCGGCATTTCAGTATAAGACTTTATAAAAAATAATCAAAATGTTTGTCAGAATATAAATTTAGTCAGTTTTTAGTAAGTTTGATTTATTTATTCATAATCGTTCATCATTTATCAACATTCATGATGTATTATGCACTGCTCAAATTTATATTTAAAAACTTTTTAGTGTGCAAGAAAACCTTGTCAAATTATAATGACAACTTATTTTTACATTATTAGATTTCTCCCGGGATAAACATTACTAAAGGATAGTGGACTGTTTTTCCTTCACTATCTGGTTTAATTCATGTAGTATTTCTTTTTTAAAAATACAATTAAATACAATAAAAAATGTGTATGTGTTTACAAAACTACTTTCCGGCATTTCAGTATAAGACTTTATAAAAAATAATCAAAATGTTTGTCAGAATATAAATTTAGTCAGTTTTTAGTAAGTTTGATTTATTTATTCATAATCGTTCATCATTTATCAACATTCATGATGTATTATGCACTGCTCAAATTTATATTTAAAAACTTTTTAGTGTGCAAGAAAACCTTGTCAAATTATAATGACAACTTATTTTTACAGCCAGTAAATTGCATTTGTAATTAACTTTTCAAAAGCTATGGACACCTCACCAGAACTATTAAGAACTAACCAGTTTATAATATTACGTTTACATTTTAACTACATTTGAAATTTTTGTGTGCCAGACTTTTTATGAGCAATCTGGGGCCGGATTCACAAAACCTTTTTTAGATTATAAATTAAGAAAGTTCTAAGAAGAAAGTGACAGGCTTTGGTGTTGTCTGATTGTATGCCTATTCTTGCAAAGACTGACAAACTGGCTTTTAGTGCTGATTACCATAATAATCATAATAACCGTGCACATAATTTTTTCTCATTTGGTTAATTAAGGCAGAACCATTAAAACAGTAGTAAAGCAGAGCCACTGGCAACCTCCAGTGATATAACGGCTGTATGTGTGAACGTCCCATAAGAGATAGGATGTTTTGGGGGGTGGGAGTGCTGAGAGGAGGTTTTCACCCTGTCTTCTCTCTTGTGTGACCTATACAGCATCCTCAAAGGCCGAAGAGCTGCCCCTCTACCTGGGCTTTCAGACCTGTCACATTCCCATCACAGTCCAGCGCGGAGAGCCAACCGGTCGGCCTCCCTTTTAAACTGCCCCCTCTCTCCCCCACCCCCTCCGACAAGCCCCTCCCTCACACCGCAGACACGCCCCCTGCCCCACCTCCCTCTTATCGGACTGGCTGGACTCCCCGGCCTCTTTCATTCAGTCTGTTTCTTTAAATGATGGTTTTTGTTTTTCTGTTATTTTTTGGTTTTGTACTTTTGTTTTGATCTGTAATGTGATGTTTTAGTTTTTTTATGTGTACAATGATGAGGGAGACAAAGCACTGAGCCCCAAACTGCTGCACAAGCCTTTCTGGATGACCCCCATCCCTCAGTCTGAGTGGGCCGCATCAGGGTGAGGGGCATCAGGAGGGGCAACATGAGGATGGTGAGGGGACAGTGGGGCTCAAATGGGGGCTGCTTAAATTGGGAGGGCAACTATTTGAGATGAGGCATCTGTTGAAAGCCAGGCTGTTCATCGAGCAGTTTTAGGGCAGTTGAATGCACTATGGTGGGGCAGTTTGGCTTAAAATCTAAAATGACATAGTCACAATATATATATAATCAAACTGTGAGAATATTGGCTTAGAGTTCTATAGAGTTATCAAAGCCTTTTTCATAACATGTTCAGGTCATAGTTTACCCCAAAATTGAAAGAAAATACAAGAAACATGTTTGGCATAAAGAAAATTAAGATATTCTGCATTGTAACATTGTAGCAGCACATTTTCCCAATATACTCTTATCTCTGTAAGACCTTTTTCAAACCGCATGCATTAGTTGAATTGCAGCAAAAATAGCCTTTGACAATGAAATAGTGTGAAAAAAATATCAAACTGTGAGAATATTGGCTTAGAGTTCTATAGAGTTATCAAAGCCTTTTAATAACATGTTCAGGTCATAGTTTACCCCAAAATTGAAAGAAAATACAAGAAACATGTTTGGCATAAAGAAAATTAAGATATTCTGCATTGTAACATTGTAGCAGCACATTTTCCCAATATACTCTTATCTCTGTAAGACCTTTTTCAAACCGCATGCATTAGTTGAATTGCAGCAAAAATAGCCTTTGACAATGAAATAGTGTGAAAAAAATAAATAAATAAAGTGAGTTACTACATTGGGTATTTCCTTTAATAACAGATTATAAACTATTACAGATTTGATTAGCTGTACATCCATATGACAATTCCTATACATGCAACCCAAAGTGTTGATATGAAGTGCATAAAGCATTTGAATTCAGTCATATTTACTGAAGCCCTACAGATGTAAAAATATCTTTCTCACTACTGTTATGAAAATAAATAAGCTATTATAATAGTATTTCAACTCTACAGTATTCGTTGCACTGCAGTATTACAGCTCTAGTAAATGCATTTAGAATTAAAATGATGAGAATTATTAAAAAAGAGAAATTAAAAATGAAAACACCCAGATGTAATGACAATATGGGAAATGATGCTAAATTGTTTCATGTCACTTTGCAAAATATCTTAATACAAAAAGCTGTATTTTATTATATTATATTTTTTATTCGAAATATGATCTAGACATACACTACCATTCTAAAGTTTGGGGTCAATAAGATTTTTTTTAAAGAAAGTGTTCATTTTTATTCAGCAATGGGATGCATTAAATTGGATCAAAAGTGACAGCAAAGACATTTATAATGTTACAAAAGATTTCTATTTCAAATAAATGCTGTTCGCTATTCATCAAAGAATCCTGAAAATGAACAAATTAAGCAGCGCAACTGTTTTCAACATTAATAATAATAATAAGCAGCAAATCAGCATATTAGAATGATTTCTGAAGGATCATGTGACACTGAAGACTAGAGTAATGATGCTGAAAATTAAGAATAACTTACAATATTTAAAAGTAATATTTTACAATATTACAGTTTTTATTTTTTTTGGGATCAAATAAATATAGCGAGCATAGGCAACTTCTATCAAAAACTTTGAAAAATCATACTGACAATTTTTTTTTTAAAGTTTATAAAATAGTTTATGATCTCGTTTTAGTGAGATTGTCCCCATTGTCACGAACTGTCCTAAAACGTGCTCCGTCTGACTGTGGTGTGTGTTGTTTCCCCAAGGACCGCCAGTCCTGCCACTAATTTCCCCCGTTCCCTTCCTTTATTCTTTAGGTGTGGCTTTCCCCACGAAAGGCTAAATGTGTTTCCCAGGATCCTCACTGAGCCCCTCATCTGATCTGAGTGTTAACATTCACATGCTTTCGTTTCACAGCTGCCTTGTTGCTTTTGAGTGGTGTTTGTTCAGAAGCATGAATCTGGCCTAGCAGTCAGTCAGACACACTCCTGTTCGTTTACATTGGCTATTCCCAGAGCCCACAGAGGCTGTACTTGTAATGCCATACATATGCCTCCATACTCCCACGTATTTCCCCTGGACTGTGCCTCTGACTGCTATGCTTCGATGTGGAATGGAAGGAGAAAAAAACCCGAGTGTCCTGCTTTACTAATCACTTAATTAATTGTGTGCATTTCTATTTTCCTTTTTTTGTACTCCAGCAGATGTGCCTAAATGTTGTTCTCTCTCAGAGAGTGACTTTATCAGTATTATATTTAAAGACACTGTCGCTCCAGCGCAAGATTACGTGACTAGTAAAGCTTCCCGTTGAGAGTGTGCACTCCTGTCTGTCATACTGTGTGCAAGCTACGCAAAAACCCACGGATCCACTGAGGATGAATGAAACCATGTTTGAATTTTGTACAAACACATGAGATATTTACATATGGGGGGGGAGGGGGGGGAGTATTATTTGTGCCTTAACTTGTATAATTTAAATGATTTGCATTTGTCAAACACATTCGGGCGTTTTACGAAAGCTGTCTGATTTGATTTATCTGATGGAGACTGTGAGGTTTGACTGATCTGTTTTCTGGTGATGTTATTGCAATCCAAGCAGGTGCGGTGACAACTAAAGTTCGAAGGCACGAAATGCGCGTCCATCCTTACCAAAGGATAGTGACCGCAGACAGAGGTTAGTTTAGTTCATGTGCTTCTATTCATTACCAGTAGCAACTCACTGTTGGTCCTGATCTGTTGTGAAGCATGTGCAGTTTGAGCATGCTAAAAGACGTGCCATCCACAGCTTGAATTCAGTACACTGTGCTGTTTAATAAGGTGTGTTTGTTTTAAACCCTTTGGTTCACACACACACACACACAAGGTCTTTCCTGCACAGGTGGAGTGGTTGACTTCATTCCATTATTCTGATGACCTTATAATTTCAGCATGATGTTGATGACAAATAATGGAGCTATTCATGTGAGCATGGGCTTTATTCACCCCATTACGCTCAACATTTCTAGCTTTCTCTAGTTATGCAAACACTAAATAGGGTTTTTATATATTGACTCTTGAAACATTTTGGAGCCATTTGAATAGACGGAGATCACATCATGAATGTGTCCCTTCCAAATGAGTTAAAATGACTGTTTATAACTACATGTAGCCTAATGTGGATATACAGATACAAATCATAGTCATAATGCACGTTAAAATCCACGTTCACTATCATTAGGTTAAAGGCTTTTCAAAACAGAAAAATGCCATTAGGAGATCTTTAAAGCTGAAGTGTGTGATTTTGTCAATGTTAAAATATATGCAGTCACAGTTATTAGTAAGCCATCTGTAGGTTCATTCCCTTGAAATGTGTAAACACTGGGATAGAGCCAAAAATGTGGACTCCTACAAAACATTGACTGGTTTGTTTGAGCACAGCAACATTGACTTGATCAATGACATAATATTAGTAATGGGACAGTATAAAAATGCAATTCTGTTGAGACACTAGTGGTGTAGAAATTACACACTTCGACTTTAAAGAAAGGAAAGATGATCTTCACTAAATCGGTGTCACTAGCAACAAGTGTAATACATATTTGAAACTTTTAAACAGGTACAGCCTGATTAATTTGACCATTTTAAATATTCTCATATAATTCTATGAGAAAAATTATTTGTCTGATGAATGGGAAAGTCTGAGACCACTAGCGAAAATGCTATTTTTATTCAATAATAAAAAAAAACGTATGTATTCAGAGTAACAATTTGAATATAGAGTATATATAAGCTGTTTTGACAAATTAACATAAATGTAATAATGTCTTAATATTTGGTTTGTCAGCAGTGCTCAAGCTCATTGAATTCCACAAGTCTGTGTAAAACCTAATGTTCTCAAGTGTGATATAAAAATGAGCAGAAGAGCATCTTAAACCAAAATGATTTCCAGGTTTAAATGAGATTATGAATTAGATTTTAATTTTGACCCCACCACATGTTTAAAATGATTACTTTAAGTTTAAGATGGGTAATGATTTGACAAAGCAAGTCTTTATCTCAGTATTGCCACAGACTCTAATATTTCCCTGTTCGCATGCATCTAATTGCATAAAAATTCAGTTGGTGCAGGTTAGACATTGTGTGTGCGTGTGTGTGTGTGTGTGTGTGTGTGTGTGTGTGGTTACTGTTACAGATGTTTGCTTAAGCTGTCAGAATGACCACAGATATCAAGCAAATCAGATACTGAGATTGCTTCCTCTCTTTTAATTTTTTGTCTTTAATATCCTTTTTGTGCTATGGTTTTATATAACGGAACTACTGCTTTTTTGAAGAAAATCTACTTTTGAGAACCCATTTGCACAGAGCTTCCAGATTACCAGTCTGTGCATTTATACTGGACCACACAAATCACTTTTTTATTTCAGCTGTTTACTTATTTTATTATTATTATTATTATTTCCATCTGTCAATATTTGCCTCATTTGATAAAGAGATTCTATGTGGCACAAGCCTTTTATTTTGCACTGAATATGTCAGAAACCTTCATCTCCTCTGCTCTTCATGAGTGGGCATGTTGAAAAAGTGAAACCTACATCAAACCTCAGACCATGAAACTGAAACGAATCTGTCGAGTCTTACGGTTGACCACTGCCGAGTGGACGATAACGTCAGCGCCACTCTGTGGATGTGATCGCGGCAAGAGTATAAATGCATTTAAGAAGAAAAAAAAACTCCACTTGATACATTTTTTATGTTTTACTGTAAGCTTCTTTTTATTTTTTGTTGTCGAAAAGAAAATAGTATTTACTTGTGGCTTTTAAAATATATATAAAAATATATATCTAAAAATATATAAAGCAGGAATGTATTTGAATTGTCAAATTTTACTTGTATTTTGGAAGAGATAGCAATGGTATTATAGAGGGCTATTTGTAGGAAAGAAAAATATGCATCATAGCAGCTTTATAGCACCATGTTAGAAAATTGCCTATATTTTTGGATACATGTTAGAGCTTTATATATGAATGACAGGACTTTTTCAATGTTTATATGCAAAAGCATTTTATATTATGTGTCCTGTGATTTGTCAGTAGTCTGCAATGCTGAGGGTAATGGCTAAAAGTCCCACAGCTTGAATTTCCATGGCTTTTATGCTAGAAAATGCCTTGTAGTGTTGCTTTGTATCATTAAGGCCAAGATTTTTATGTTGTTGTAAATAGAACAAAAAAGAATTTCAAAAGGCAATAAAAAATTGTTTTGAGTAAAAAACCCACCAGCAGTTGTTCTGGCCCTAAATTATTTCTGACTAAATTTCTCAACGTCTCAATTTACTAAGAAAAGCATTGATCTTCCATCTCCATCATAACTGGCGGCTTAATGCTGGAACCTCTTAAGAGCTCTAGTGCTTAATAGCAGTCAGGTAACGCTGTGACCTTCACTGACTGTCCTCAGATCTCTCCTCTCATTTCATTAGCAGCTGTCTCTCTCATGGCCGGTCACACTAGACTCGCTCCCATTCACACACCTGCGACCGTCAGCATCTGCTTGCTGCAGCATATTGTGTTGGAATTTGCAAAGATCATAAAGCAGAGATCACTAATTCGATTATGCAGTCCAGATCCGAACCCAACGTTTGAATTGAACTGAATCTGTTTGAATTCCATTTGAATTCTTTAACGGAATCTAGAGCAGAGCATGACATCATATCCTGTCATGCTTAAAGCCTAGTGTGACCGGACCTTCAGTCTGTCCATTCACTTGACTGCTACTAACCATTAGACACATTTGTCACAGTTGTATTCCTTTGTGTTTTCTCGCTTGATTTCTTCCTTTTTAATATGTGACCTCTCAGGACAGGCTGATCCTCATGCTGTGTGTAAAATCATGCTTTTACCTCATGATTTTACTATATTACAAAGATGAAGATCAACAGTCCTTCCACGGCTCTCACATTCAGTCAACCCACAGCAAGAGTTATTATTTATGCTTGAAACATCCTCTATGCAAATACGTGAACCAAAAGCTTTTTTACGAAATGTTCCTCTATGGCTAGTTTTCCTTTTCGAGTCTACGACTGTCACGATAAAACAACAGTTTGAAGAGAATCTTACTGAGCACATTAGTTAAAGCTGAAGTTATTTTTTTTTTACTAGCGCCACGAAAACTAATTGCAGAAATGTGACCCTGGAGCACAAAACCAGTCTTAAGTCACTGGGGTATATTTGTAGCAATAGCCAAAAATCAAACGTAGCATTAATTCTGGCAGGTCAGGTTAGTTAAGCTCGCATCAGCTGACTCTCAGCTGATCCCCATCTACCTATGGGAATACGACACCTATCTAAGCATTCATATATAAGGTCCCTCAGTATTATCAGCAGTTTTCGCATTGCTCAATAGCTAATTACCCTCCTCCATCCCCAGCTCCTCCTCTGTCAGTCAGGATTCAGCCTTCTGATTCTCTTTGAATCAGACTAATTCTAAAATGTGTATATAAAATGATTGAACTTAACAATATCTGCGATACATTTGTTAGTTCTGTTCTGTTTACCCTGGGGGGTTATTGCTGCTCTCCCTGCTCTCATCCATGCTAGGCTGCATGGAGGCACAGGGAGTCCTTGCCCAGAACAGAACCATACCGCCAATCCAAACTGTATGCTAATTGTCAATCAACTTTGACGATAGTGGTCCTGACAGAAATACATTGTATGGGTCAAAATTATTGACTTTTCTTTTATGCCAAAAACCATTAGGATATTAAGTAAAGATGAAGATATTTTGTAAATTTCCTACTGTAAATATATTAAAACTTAATTTTTGATTAGTAATATGCATTGCTAAGAACTTCATTTGGATAGCTTTAAAGGCAATTTTCTCAATATTTAGATTTTTTTTTTTGCACCCTCAGACTCCAGATTTTCAAATAGTAGTATCTCGGCCAAATATTCCTATTCTACCAAACCATACATCAATGGAAAGTGTATTTATTCAGCTTTCAGTTGATGTATAAATCTCGATTTCAAAAAATTGACCCTTATGACTGGTTTTGTGGTCCAGGGTCACATATGATTGTTTTCAAAAAGGCTTCATGAACACTCCCCCTGTTTTCAGTTGGTCAAACAAACATAAGTCCCGCCCTCAAAAAACAAGTTAGGCCAAATTTATTTGTATAGCGCTTTTCACAATTCACATTGTTTCAAAGCAGCTTTAGGTTACACTTTACTTCGATAGTCCACTTTATACATTCTACTAACTGTGAGTAACTTTGCAACTACATGTTAACTAACTCTCATTAGAGCATTTGTAGACTGTTAGGTTAAGATTAGTAGAATAAGTTGCCGTACTTGCAAAGTTACTTATAGTCAGTAGAACGCCGTGTGCAGCATGTAGTTGCAAAGTTATTTATAGGTAGTTGAATGTCTAATGCCGGGTTCAGACTACACAATATTTTTGTCGGTCACGATAGTCACTGTGTCAGATTTCACAAATTTGACTCCTAAAATCTTATCGTATCGTGGACAAGAAACATGTCAGACTACACGTTGCTTCCCGACCATTCATCGCCGGCACGCGTGATGTCATCGAGAAGGCGGAACTAGCGACTGACTTCCAAAAACAAGAGTGTAAACATTGCTGAAGCGTTTCTGCTATAGTTCGCCAGCATTTTTCTTTCTTTGTCGTGGTAGTCCCTCGATGACACATCATACAGGCAGGAGTACTGTTGCCACAGCTCCACGAACCTTTCCTCCATCTCATAATTCCACCTAGCAGCACCATCGTCTCTCTTTCGTTTTGCCATGTTTCAAACCTGTGTATGAAAGAGCTTCTGTGCTGCTATTGGTCAACGTCACCAATGTGACAGAACTCGTCGTGGATGACGGAACATTTTCTGTCGTGATGTCGTGAAGCATCACAGACGCGGAATCGGTTGTCGTCCACTATGACACACTACACGATCCCCACGACACCCTACGGCAAGCAAATCGTGGCAAAATCGGGCTAAAATCGTGTAGTCTGAACCGGGTATTAAGTGGACTATCAAAATAAAGTGTTACCCAGCTTTACAGAAAATCATGACGTTAATGTTTAGAATCTCTTAATATCAAGCACTGGACTAACTTGCGTAAAGTATTTCCCTGCCTTTTCTCACTATATCACCCAATTGAAAACAAGAGTGTAAACATTGCTGAAGCATTTCTGCTATAGTTCGCCAGCATTTTTCTTTCTTTGTCGTGGTAGTCCCTCGATGACACATCATACAGGCAGGAGTACTGTTGCCACAGCTCCACGAACCTTTCCTCCATCTCATAATTCCACCTAGCAGCACCATCGTCTCTCTTTCGTTTTGCCATGTTTCAAACCTGTGTATGAAAGAGCTTCTGTGCTGCTATTGGTCAACGTCACCAATGTGACAGAACTCGTCGTGGATGACGGAACATTTTCTGTCGTGATGTCGTGAAGCATCACAGACGCGGAATCGGTTGTCGTCCACTATGACACACTACACGATCCCCACGACACCCTACGGCAAGCAAATCGTGGCAAAATCGGGCTAAAATCGTGTAGTCTGAACCGGGTATTAAGTGGACTATCAAAATAAAGTGTTACCCAGCTTTACAGAAAATCATGACGTTAATGTTTAGAATCTCTTAATATCAAGCACTGGACTAACTTGCGTAAAGTATTTCCCTGCCTTTTCTCACTATATCACCCAATTGAACTGTTTTGTGTCTTGTGCTGTGGGGAGACTCGCCTGAATCAACGAGCCTACTTGTGATCGGTTTCGAAATACTTTTCAAATTGTCATCCTGCTTTCACTAGCTGAAACTAATCTCCTCTATCTTTTGTTTCTTTCCTCCTTTCCTTGTTTCCCTCCCTTTTTTCTGTTCGTTTGTCTCTCTAACCCACTCAGCCACTAACCCCTGACCTTCTGACCTCTTCACCCAATGATGACCTGCCCATTACCTGCCTGCCGATCACACCTCTGCCCTAAAATGAATGAATGAAAGACAAAAAGAGTATCTAAGAGCTGTCACAGGCAGTGGATATACAGCTTCCCTAAACCTGGGTGGCAGATGCCCACCGCTTCAGACGGGGTGCGGACGTTCCTGCCGCTGTAGATCTGCACTCTTTGTAAGCAATAAGCAATAATGATTTGTCCCACACCCTCTAAATCAAAGCCAGACCTCCCAGTTTGCTGTGCGAACGCCTCCAGCTCAACCATGGCACTGTTGAGGAAACGGACTGCCCTTCATCGCACCCCAACCCGTCGCTCAAGTAATCCTGCAGTTACGGTAATGAGTCTGAATGTAATGCATGACGGTGTGGATGATGCACCTCTTGCATCATCGCAACCCGGTGAACTTGTCACAGTGGGCTATTTGAGAAGCATTTCAGCAGTGAGTCAAAGCTGAAAATACATTAAAAAAAATAAAAATGAATATTTCCTTTCCGGAACAATCCGACACTTTTCAGTGAACAAGCCTCTCTGAGGATGTATAAGCCATGCTTGCCTATCTGCTGTACAAATGTATGAAATGTGTAGATAAATGTTAAAAGAGTGACAAAAGAGAACATGTACAGAAACGACACTTTTATTATCCTCCAGAGAACTTATATTTTTACAACTCGCTATTTTATATTGTCGAATATTATGAGGCAAACAAGAGAGAGAGAGAAAAAACAATACCGAACCCTTTATGAAGTGAAAACAATCCAGTTTTCTGTAATTGGATGTAGTGTTTATGACCAAAACAACCCTTTCGTTGAACCGTTGGGGTTGATAGGGAAATATCATTCAAGTGCCTTATCATAGTTTTCATAGTTGATGTTCAATATGAATGTCATAATCAGTGGCGAATGAGCAGACCAAAAGCATCGTAATTTTATGTAAATTGTAGAGCACATAAAGGTCTCTACAATCTACTCAGGCTTATGATGGATTTGGGAAATGTTGTCCATGTCAGTACACACAGCTTTCCCGTCAGGAAGCACATAAGTTATGTATCACCAGCTTATCCCTGCCTTCCAGTTTCGGCTGCAACAGCTCACCGCTCCCAGTATTACACAGCGATCAAATTCAAGGCCTTTCACACCGCATGAATACTGTCAAACCGACTCGGGAGTCAAAGTCAAGCTGTAGCCTTCAGTCTTGACTCATCCTTCAGAATTGTGGGTGTTATGCTCACAGTACTTAAATTCATTTGCACTTTATGTTGATGTTTAGCGCATTGTAATATCAGTATGGTAAGATAGAGGATATATTCAATGCCCAAAAAAATCTACTTTATTTTAATCAGTATTTTTGTCTTGTTTTACATTAAAAATATATAAATGTCCTTAATATGAGTGTAACGGGGCTGATGAGACAAGAGGCGTGCGGATCCATGTGCAAGCTTTATTTAACAAGAGAAGTGGTCAAACACAGGCAGGGTCGATCAATGGCAAACAGGTATATGGCTGGCAAAACACAAGAATAGTCCTAGGGCCAGCGTAGGTCACTGATCGGCAGACAGAATCACAGGGGCGAGACGAGAGGGAAAAATCCAGGAAAACAGGCAAAGATCAGAAACCGAGAGAACAGGCAAGGCAAGGCAAAACAAGGAAACACAGAGACTCGGAACGAGGTACAGGCTAAACAATACTCAGCGGAGAATGGTTGTTTGAGTGGGTGTTATATAGTGAGTGAGTGATATGAAACAGCTGTGTGCAATCAGTGCAATCAGTGCAGTGTGTAATCAGTGCAATGAATGATGGGATATG